CAGTTCGGAGGCCATGGGTCTATGGGTTCCTTGTATACATCTTACCTTTGGGCGCCACCAAGTTAATTGTGACTTAACTAGGAAGATAACTTAATGATGTTATAAACAAAACCTGTGCAATTGGAGAGCTTATCAATAAAACAACTAATTAGGTACATTAGGTATCTGGCTTCTTTATTAAAAATAATAACAAAATATAGGGATAGCCAGGAGGTTATTAAAAATGTGTTTAGAATAATGCTTGTACCAATTTATAAATATTTGATTATAAAAAAAAAATAAGAATGTAAATAATGTGTAAAAATATTGATTTTTAAATAAACAGTTTTAACTGTCTGTTTACACTTGTGAAAGATTAGAACCACAATATCAGTTACACTCTACCAAGAGGCAAATTCAACACCAGAATGGTGAAAATTATTGTTAGGGCAACCTCAGGGTAAAATTCTAGAATTTTATTTAAGGGGCACTTACCGAACGTAAATCAGTATCAAGTGATTTATATAAGATTTGCCTAAATAGTAAAAAGTGCAACTTACATGTGTACAAGTGTTGATTATCTTCAAAGGTGTGTGCAAATCCAGAAGTTTTGAAGGGATATTATCTACAGGTTCGGTCTTACTATAGATAGACTATGGTATGGTAAGTGAGTCATAGTCATGAGTCCTATCCACGTGGTATCTGTTTTACGTAGAACTCAATGTGGTTCTAGCAGAGCGGTACCAAGAGGGTTGCTGAACGGAGGCTACCAAAGCCAACTAAGAGCAATCTAGATCTAGTCTAGAATCTCTTTCTAGGAGCTGTCCAACTATAGCCTAAGACTGTCTAGCTACAGCCTAGCACTAGGACTAGGAGTAGGACCCTATAACGATGTTCGTATAAAAAAACAAATCGAGCCCCAAATATTAGAAATAATCTTACCTCAAATTGAGGGATCCTCTAGACCAAAGGTGAAGTCTTAAACTTCCAAAAGCTGCTCGGAACAGTCCTATTGAAGAAACGAAACACGTGTTGTAGGTTGATAATCCTGAAGAAAATCTCAAAAACTTACCGAAACAAAATCCAAAATGACCAAGGGACGACTCTAGACAATTATCAACAAGAAATTAGTCTAAACCTTGAGTTCCCTGGCACAAAATTCCAAAAAGTCTCGCCCAAAATCAAATAGGGCCGAGACCAACCTTTCGGTATCAAGTCTCAAGATCAAAAGGGCTGATTCTCCATTTAGATTTCGGAAGAAGGCTCTCATTTGTCAAACTTCTAATTTTGACATTGAAGAAAATTATAGAAAAAAACGTGTTCAGTTTCACCCCAAAAGTACGAACTGAGAATCGGTTGTGTAAAAAAATGACTGGTGAATGTTGAAAAGTGCCTATAGAACATATATCAAAAGGTAGAACAGGGCCGAGATTCTAAAATCACGATTCGACACACGACTCGATAACGATACCGGCCTTGTCGTCTCGAAAGGTACAATTGAACGATCAAACGAACTTACCTGTGATGTTCGATCGTAATTATATATAGCACCTCGTCCGAAGAAATCACTGCGTTATCTTACTATGTAGTACTGCTTTTTGTACTAGAGGGAGTCACAAATTTCAAAGAACTCAAAATGTCAATCATTGCCCTTACCGACTACAGGACCCTGTTTAACCGGTAGAGTCATCTAAGTTTAAAGTTTCCCGCTATATTTTGGAAATGGGGTCTAGTCTTGGGAGGGTTGGGAGTGATCTCTTCGGACGAGGTGCTATATATAATTACGATCGAACATCACAGGTAAGTTCGTTTGATCGTTCAATTATATTACGCACCTGGTCCTCAAGATCACTGCGTTATCTTACTATGTAGCTGTTCAAAGAACAAAATATAGCGGTAGAACAAAATCCGCTCTCCGCTTGTTAGTGTACCAATGATAAATGACGAATGACGTAATAGAGTGAAATACCATGTTGATTGGTCTCGATAAAATCGTAATCGATCGAACTAACTGTCACTGTTGCTAGTCAGCTCAGCTTCTTCTCATTCTATTATCAGCTGAGCAGTCCCTACTGTTTATTTGATTATTTCTAATTAAATAAATAAATAAATAAATATAGAAAGTTTTAAAGTAGTGTTTATTTTCATTTTATGTTATGAAAAGTGAAATGAAGGTACCTCTATTTTTATTGTTAACATTTTTCAGGTACTGCTATACACGGCAGACATAAAATCTGATTCCTTATTATCCAGGGGTCTATTATAGAATCTAGCAAATACTTTTGATCTGTTGCTCCACCCTGCATTTTTACTTATAATGTCCCAAGAAACACCAGCACGGTTTGCTGCTGATGTAGAAGCGTGTCTTGTAGAATGGGCTGTGAATATTTTCGTGTTGATACCAGCCCTGTAAAGCAAGTGTTTGAGCCAATGTGCTATGGTGGATGTGGATACATGTTTGTGAGGAGGCTTAGAAGATATAAAAAGAAAATTTTCGGAGTCTGGTCTTATTGCAGCTGTTTTTTCGATATACGATAAGAGTGTTGATGCCACGCATAGCTTTTCTTCATGAAAATATTGCAATTCGAAGTAAGGTTGATATGCATTCAGCCTTGAGGTCTTAATATTATTTGAAACATATATTTTTACTCCACTTTCCTGGAAAATAATATTTTTGACTTTTATTAGATGCAACGTTTGAAGACGTTGTCCAGTAGCTAATGCTAGAAGAATTGCTAACTTTTTCGTTAGCTCCAGGAGGTTTAGAGCATCATTAGATGGTAGGTTCTTTATGTATTTTAACACTATTGAAGGATCCCATGTTATACTGTATTTTGGTTTGGGTGGTCTTAGCTTAAATATGCCCTTAAGAAATCGTCTCACCAGAGTATTTTTTCCGATGTCGTGAGGAAGTATCAGAGAAAGTGCCGATCGATGTTGATTAAACGTAGCATAGGAGTTTTTCTCTTTATCAAACTGTAGTTGTAGGAATGTTATTATGTGTTCTACTTCTCCTTGAAAAGGGTTGATATTTTTACAGTTGCAGAATGCCCACCAGGCTTGTAAGGAACTGTTGTATTGTTTGATTGTACTCTCCGATAGTGAGGAAATGGCTGTTTCTAAGGATTGCTCTGGAAATCCTTTTTGTTTGAAGGCTTCCCGGACAGCGTTCCGGCAACCAGGGTAAGGCCTTGATGCATTGGGTGAACTTTGCTAAAAGGGGAAGACAGTAAATGTTTATTTGGTTTCAATAAAACTGGCTTTGACACCATAAGCATGTTGAAAAGGGGGAACCAGGGTTGGCTGGGCCAAAAGGGTGCCACTACTATGCCTTCTGCACCGTCACTCATAATCTTGTTTAAGACTCTAAGTATCAGGGAAAAAGGCGGAAAGGCATAGAAAAAATTATTAGCCCAAGGCACTGTAAAGGCATCGCTGGCTACAGCATTAGGGTCTCTGTGCCATGAAATATATCTTTCCACTTTGTGGTTTATATAAGATGCAAACAAATCAACCTTTGGATCACCTAATTGTTTTACTATTCTATCAAAAGCGAAAGGTGCCAGTTCCCATTCTGTTTCTACTGAAATTGTTCTAGACCCCTGATCTGCTTTGTTTTGTTTGGTATTGATATAACTAGCGTATAACCAAATATTTCTACTCTCACACCATTTCCAGATTTGCTTTGTTAAAGTGTGGAGGTCTGTGTGCTGCACACTTCCCATTTTATTAATGTAGGCCATCGCAGTGGTATTATCTACTCTTACTAAAATATTACAGGAATTTAGGTTTTTGGCAAAACATTGTAAACCCAGAAAAACAGCCTTAAGCTCTAAGGTATTGATATGTTTTTGAGCGTCTTCCCTATTCCACCAGCCATGTGTGGTTTGATTATTTGCAAAAACCCCCCAGCCTGTTGTACTTGCATCAGTATAAATCTCCAGGTCAAAATGGTCATGTCTAATTGTATTTTCCATTGTATTAATATTTTTTAACCACCAAGAGATATCATCATTTATATTGTTAGATAAGTTCATTACTGCGTTATAATTTTGATTAGATTTTTGTAATGCCAAGAACTTTTCACGCTCTAATTGTTTTGTGTAAAGCTTTGCATATTTATTTGCAGGGCAAGTAGAAATTAGAAGGCCTACAAACTGTGCATATTCTCTAATCTTGCACGTTTTCTTCTTGATAAAAATATTTAAAAACTTCATTATTTTTTCACGCTTTTCTTTAGGGAGTTCTACCGTCATCTTTTTGGTATCAAATATAAAACCCAAAAATTGACACCTTTGCATTGGGATTAGGCAACTTTTTTCGAAATTTAATATAAAGCCAAGGGACGTGAGAAATTGAATTATGTATTCGAGGTCAATTTGACATTGAAGTCTTGACGAGTTCAATATAAGAAAGTCATCAATATATGATACAACAAGTATACCTTTTTCTCGAAAGTGTTTTAAAATTGGTTTTATCAATTTAGTAAAGATATATGGGGCTACTGACAGACCAAAGGGTAGGCACGTAAATTCAAACAATTCAGAATTTAGACGAAACCTCAAAAATTTTCTGTAGTTTTTGTGAATTGAAAGTAAAAAATATGCATCTTTAAGGTCAATTTTTACCATAAAGTAGTCCAAATTTAACAGTCTCATAACTGTACGGGAATCCTCCATTTTAAAATGAGGTGGGCTCAAAAAGGTGTTTAGCTTTTTAAGATTTAGGATAAAGCGCATAGAGCCATTTGGTTTTTTAGTGAGAAAGCATGGTGAGACAAACTGATAGTCAGATTCCTCACAGTGAGCTATAGCCCCTAATGCTAAAAGTTTCTCAATTTCTTTTTTGAAAATATTTACTTCACTTAAGGAGCATCTGGTCGTCGAATTTGAATTATTTATAGGCTTACTACAAAAGGGTAATTTATAGCCTTTAACCCAGTCTAAAACTTTAGACCTAGCTGGTAAAAACTGTTCCCACTTTTCAACAAAATGTCTCAATCGGCCTGCAATACAACCTACCTCTATTTCCTGAATTTTTGCTGGGGTTCCTGTTTTTTCTGGTAATACTGCTGGTGACGGGATCGAGGTTGGTAATTCGATCGGTGATTGCCCGTCCGGCGCTGGGTATAACCTGCACCCGACGGGCTTTTGAAGTTTAAATTAACTTTTTGTTTTTCGTTAACCTTTGAAGGCTCTTTTAATTTAAAAACTGACCTTTCAACTTCCTTTGCAGCTTTTATTTTTTCAGCTAAGTTTTGGCCGAATAATAGGCCATCGACTGGAGTTCCCTGAATAACCTCTTTGATAGAGGTATTTAGTGAGCTCGTTACTAAGTGTCTTCTATTTAGAGACAAATTATGGTGAACATCAGTTAAGAGTTTTGCTCCATCGCTCAACCGAGAGATTAGCTGGTTTTTTGCATCCAGGCTATTACTGTCAGTCAAAAAACTTGAAAGGCCCTTACCTATGGCCGAAATGCCATGGCCCAGCATGGCTTGAGTTATCTCGAGGAATTTGTCCTTTTTAATTGTAATTGATGGGACTGCTTTCTTTATTTCAAGATTAATAGCTGGTGACTTTAAGGTTGGAATATTATTTGGGATTGGGTATTTTTCCTTCAAGGCTTCCCGCTCCTCCTTACCAAGTCCACCACTTAGAATTTCCTCCCATCGCTTTTTTAACACAACATGAGCCTCATACCCATGTTTATTGACGTTTTTCTGCTCCCCCAAGGCTTTTAGAATGTCGTCGTCCAAATTAACGTCCTCTGTAAGAACTAACGCCTCTGGTGGTGACCTGGGTGACCCTTGCAAATTCGCTAGGTCTATCAGGTTTTCCTGATCTTCTCCTGTTTCCCTTTCCAAGGGCACAGGAGGGCTACGAGGTGAGTGTCGAGGTCTTGATCTGGTCGTAGACTCAGATCGGCTACTTCGGCTAGTTGAACTGAGTCGAGCTGAAGTTGAACCCTCATAGCGATCGAGTCTCTTTTTGAGTAACTCGAGCTCTTTAACAACATAGGAATCTCTTCCTCGATTTCCATTGTAAGAATAAGAGGCATAAGAGCCCTGAGAGCGTCTAGACTTCGATTCTCTAGAACCTTCGGAAATCCGAGATCGAGATCGAGAAGGAGAAACAAAATGGCGGTTCTTATGAGGAGAATGCCCATGCCGAGACCGAGATCTGTTTCGAGAACAGCCCGGCGAGCGATCAGCTGGCGATCTTTTCCTTTTCCCCATCGGGCTAAGGAAGCTAAAAAACACAAAATAGATTATTTATAACGATGAAATTTACCTTAAACTAGCCAAAAAGGGGATTTTGTAAATTTTTCGTGACGCCTTCGGCTGCACAAAAAAGCAAGATGACTCTACCGGTTAAACAGGGTCCTGTAGTCGGTAAGGGCAATGATTGACATTTTGAGTTCTTTGAAATTTGTGACTCCCTCTAGTACAAAAAGCAGTACTACATAGTAAGATAACGCAGTGATCTTGAGGACGAGGTGCGTAATATAATGACTGGTGAATGTTGAAAAGTGCCTATAGAACATATATCAAAAGGTAGAACAGGTCTAAAGAAAACGCCTAGACAAAACAGCTGTTCAATGACATGATGGAAATGAAAAGTTAAAGAGTAAACAACAATTTATCATAACCTCAAATTATTGATTGGATTTGCAAACAGAGATGATGATGGTACTACCTCCTTTTCCTAAGATTCTAATCAATAACAGCGGGCCCTGCCGTACTGAATCAATCCTTCCTAGATCAATCAACAAAACTTGCAAACCTGCACAAAAAAACTTTCAGTAGAAGGCAGTAATCAAGGTAACAAAATCTGGGCACAGAAAAGACAGTTAGTTGCTTATTCATTTATTTCATTGTAGTTCTATATAGAATCATATCTACTAGAGCAAAACACAGTAGCATATCAAACAAGAAATTGAAAATGCTACACTGATTATATTTGCCTTTCACATATTATTGGCGTAGCATTATCCTTGAAAATTTGGCAGGTTGATCCTCGTATAATAATGACAATATATGTCAAATTCCAGACAGTTTTAAGTGTGTTTCACATAATTTCGTAAGTGTCGCAGTATTAAAATTCTCTGGCCTATCTAGCCAATCAAATTTGACACATTTGTCAATATATATTTTAATAGTGCAATAATAATAATAATGAACGGTACCTTACTATTCTGCATACGAAATCACGAAATTTTATTATAAAATTTCGAGTTATAAGTCGAAATTTTGAAATTTCGAGTTATAAGTCGAAGTTTTAGAGTAAAATTTCGTGTTATAAATCGAAATTTTTAAAATTGAGAAATAAAAAAGTTCGGTGTCCCTTCTACGCCTTCATATATACGAGGGTTAACCTGTCAAAATTCCTACGCCAATAATATCTGAAAAGCATAGATACTCCTGGAGATAAACATACCCTCAGTCTATTCTCTATTCAAAAGCCTACTTCTCTCAGACTGAAACTCTTCCTCTGTGAGAGAAGCCGGCCCATATCCTACTGCTTCTTTTGAAACTTTCTTTTTAGGTTTCTTGTGAGAATTTCCTGGAATCTGCGCTTTACGTGCATTGTCCTATTCATGTGGCTTCTTGCATTTTTTCACAAACGATTGAAAGGCAGTACCTTGCACCGTTGGCCTCTAGTCCAGCCAAGTTGAGCTTTGCCAATCTGCACCTTTATTGTACCCAAGTCCAGACAAATAGGCTCTTGTCTGCGCAGAACTTTTTTGGATGGCACTCAACTGTTTGCGGACATAAACATCTCAGCTCCATTGTTTTGTTTCATTATCAATCAGCTTGTGGCCCTAGCTTACCACAATTCATTGAAACACCGTTGCTATCCGATTGAAAATATCAGCAATCTCCATTTCTCCTACTTTATTGCTAAAATATCCATTACATTGACAATATGAAGGACTTAATTTGAGGTGTTTTCCAAAAACATGATAAGACCCATTTTCCAAATCAGTTTTTAAATTGTCGACATCACCATGTGCGTTGATATACAGTGTGTCCAAGATAAGGATGGGATAGCATTAGGATCTGGAGATCGATTGGAGTTACAATGTTGGTTAGATTAGGAAAAAGTTGCGCAATTTACTGCTCAATAAAATGGTACTTTCACATTTGGAAAATTCTGAATACTTTTTGAGATATCCAGAAATTTTGCAAAATCGATTTTATTTTTTTCTGAGCTCATTTGAGGAGATATTTCAAAATAAATGTAACTTCATCATAAAAACTTCTTCAACTCTACGAGATGACATTTTCAAATACAGTGTGTCTCGCTTAAGGACTGACCACCTTTCTAAAATTTTTAATTTTTGACCGATTCAATTCATGTTTTTTTTGTTTTATGTCTACTCGAATTTGGCACTTATTAGGCTCATAATTTCATTTCTACGGCTGTACTGGTGTACAGGGTGTCCACATTTATAGGCTCAAATTTCAATAAGGACTATTAGGGATTTTTTTTAGAAAAAATCTGATAGCAGATTCTTATTTAGAATGGTCTAAAACCCAAATGTACTAGTTTTTGTTTCAATACGATACAGGGGTGATGACAACAAATTTTCACAATTTAATGAATCAAGCCGCAAAAATGTTATATTTTGAAACAAGCTTACTACAAATTTTTGGTTGAGGATGTTCTAAAACTATGTTGTAACAAGTTTTGTTTTTCTCATGGCCTCAAAATGTAACATTTTTTTCGGTTTGGTCCATTAAATTTTGAAAATTTGTTGTGATCACCCTGTATCATATTGAAACAAAAATTAGTACACTTGGGTTTTAAACCATTCTAAGCAAGAATCTGCTATCAGATTTTTTCTAAAAAAATCCCTAATAGTACTTATTGAAATGTGAGCCTATAAATGTGGACACCCTGTACACCAGTACAGCCCCAGAAATAAAATTATGAGCCTAATAAGTGCCAAATTCGAGTAGATATACGACAAAAAAAATAGATTGAATCGGTTAAAAAATAAAAATTTCAGAAGGGTGGTCAGTCCTTAAGCGGGACACACTGTATAAAATCTGACGATCATCTTTAGGCCCAACTTAATTTTCTTTAACTGCTAGTCAATTGCTCTCGAGCAAAAGTAAAATTTTGATTAACTTGCAAGCTAAATATTTGTGGAACCAAAATATGATAGTTTTCCATGGAGAAATGTCAGTTTAGGGAATACTTATCCTTGAGGCTTCCCTAAAATAGTTAGTGGAAACGGCCAGAAATCAACAATTCTGTTTCCTAGGATATTTGTCGAGTGTCTTCTTAGGCCCAGTTGTACAATCTCGGTTCAAAACAAAGTTCAGCTGAACTCGACTGGTACTTGAGCTTTCCCATTTGAAATACATTGCTGTCAGCTATCAATTTTTTTTAACAAGTTTGACAGCAATGCATTTCAAATGGGGAAATTCAAGTACCAGTCGAGTTCAGCTGAACTCTGTTTAGAACCAAGATTGTACAGCTAAATACACCTTAATGTTCTTTCAATTTCTATAATGTGTTTATAAATATTTCATCTATCTCATTATATTCCTCTTGGCTTATAAATGCGAACTCATGTAGCTTTTTATCAGGCAACATAATATACATTTATGGGTCTTGTTCAAATTGTAGACAGAAGAAGATACATTATATTCTTCAATGAGGAGGCTGCTAGAATCAAAAATCTAAAAAGATACTTAGGCCCAGTTGTACAGTGGGAATCATTGCAATTGGCACACACTATATAAATATCCCTCGTAATGTGTCAAATCTGACACACCAGTAATAGCAAAATGCTGCACATCACTAAATAGATTTATTGGTTAGAATTTTGACTCATTACGAGGGATTTTAAAGAGTGTGTGCCAATTGCAATGATTCCCACTGTACAATCTTGGTTCAAAGCAGAGTTCAGCTGAACTTGACTGGTACTTCAACTTCTAGCTGACAGCAATGTATTTTAAATGGGAAAGCTCAAGTATCAGCCGAGTTCAGTTGAACTTTATTTTGAACCGAGATTGTACAACTGGGCATTAGTATTAGCATTGTATTTATTAGATGGTATTAGTTTATTGGCTTACATGTCAAGGGGATCAATGATGCTAGTTGAAATTATTTTGTCCATAATGGGGATGTCATCTTCATTTTTGTAGCACTAGAGAACATTTGGAACCTGCTTGTAATATAACTATGTATATATTTTTTTTCCATGAATAAATTTTGACACATAATAACACAGTTGGTCTCTTGGTCTTGGGATACTGGTAATATCTGTGGTAATATCATGTTGTTAGACAAGATTGTGTTTGGGTTTTCCTGGTCTTGAAAATTAGCTTATTTCTTCTAGTTATGTATGTATGTTTTTTCTATAATCAGCTTGCCTGCCTCTTGCACCTTCAAAAGCTGCTTATTGCAGAGGCAACCAAAAAAGCAATATAATTTCATTGCAGAATAACAGTCATAAATTGGATACGTCCTGAAATCTAAGTTGAAATTTACCTCTTTGAACACACTGGCTCTAAGAGCTTCCACCAGCATTCCGGCTATTTGCATAGAAATGTTCTTGCAAGACCATACATAATATAATAATGAACCATTTTGCATAGGTACCTAAGTAATCAAAAGTAGAGTTGGATAAATTTATTAGTGTAGGGTAATAAAACCAAATTTTTGAAATTATTTTTCTTATTTTGCTTTGTTTTAATTGGGGTAGGATCGGAAAAAAAAACACCAACGGAAGTTTGTTTTTTTCAAAATTGTCGACGTTTCGCAAAATTTATTTGCATCCTCAGGACACTACAAAAGACGTGAAAAATTTAATAAATAAATAAATAATTAAAAGGTGGACATTAGGAACACACTGACTACTACTTAAATTTAAAAATTAACTTTCCTTGTCATTAAAATAATTGTATCACAGATCTTATAGGTATTACAAAAGTTTTTTTGTCTTTGGAACATCATCATTATATTATGTAAATTACGGAATTCAAAAAACACACAAGCCGTAACACGTTAAAATAAAAATAAAAATAAAAAGACAAACACTGTAGACATAACATTTAAAATTATCAAGAACAAAAACAGAAATATTAAATTGTAATACCTATAAGATCTGTGATACAATTATTTTAATGACAAGGAAAGTTAATTTTTAAATGTAAGTAGTAGTCAGTATGTTCCTAATGTCCACCTTTTAATTATTTATTTATTTATTAAATTTTTCACGTCTTTTGTAGTGTCCTGAGGATGCAAATAAATTTTGCGAAACGTCGACAATTTTGAAAAAAACAAACTTCCGTTGGTGTTTTTTTTTCCGATCCTACCACAATCAAAACAAAGCAAAATATCAATTTTTGGATCGACAACGCTCTAATTGGATTATTTTTCTTTCCTGTGCTTTTAGGAAGGAAATCGCGGTACTTAGCTTTTACTGCGCTCTACTCAACTCAAATGTTTTTTTTTAGGAACATGGTAATTTTCTTTCAGTCTCTCCCAGTCTTTCAAAAAAGAAAATCCAAAAATATAAAAAATAGTCCGATAAAAATTGCTTGCAACTTGTGAGTAAACAGCAAGGATGTAAACATTGCATTCTCTGCCACACAAAAAATTACCTCCCAAACCAATTCAAAATAAATTTCGAATTATATTTTTATTATCTGTGTTTATATCGCCAAGGCCAAAGTCCAAAGTTCAACGACGGTCCAACCAAACGAGTGAAAGGTTTTCTTTGTTCTTTGTCTAATACAACAATAAACAAAGACAGACATAGGTCGTAATACGTACATTGAAAGCGGAACACGATGATAACTTCAATAATAATAAACTATATTATGTTTTTCATTATCCCTTCCAAAATAGTCAAAATAGTATAATACATGCGGAGGTGGAAAGTGTATTATTATTGTCGAGAGATACTATGGTTGACCGAGGTGACTCAATTCTCGAGACAATAATGTGAAAATGTTCCACCAAATTATGTATACTATTTTATTTTGAACCATTATTTATTGGAAAAAATAGGGGTAAAAATATGACAAAAATTGAATTTCGAATGACAAGTCTGACACCGACATTGGTTTCTTATGAAATTTTCAACAATATAAACACATGTGACATCTACTTCTAAATACAAACATTGCACCTGGATTTGTGTTAAGGTGAAATAGAACAATTTATCAGGGCCGGAAGTGAGTTGTGCAGGCCGAAAGTGACAGCAGAACAGTCACTTCTGGCCTAGCTGTTTAAAGTAAAACAGGAATTAAAATGACATTTTCAAAATCTCCAAACCAGTAGGGGAATGCATTAATATACATATGGTTCAAAATAAAATGTTTTTTATCTTGAATAGTTTAGCGAAAGTGAAGTAATGACTAGCTTGTTTGACTTTCGCGTTCGCTTGCCTATTCAAGATAAAAAAAATGTTTTCCTGAGGAGAACAATGAAAAGTTTGATACATTACACGCTGCAAAAGCCCTTTTAGGTGCTCGGAGGTATTCAAATAGCCTCGGCTGCGCTTTGCTCCGCCTCGGCTATTTGAATACACGCACCTAAAAGTAAGCTTTCGCAGCTTGAAATATAAATATGTAACTATTTAGGTGTTCGGAGGTATTAAATACACCTCGCACCTAAAAGTAAGCTTTCGCAGCTTGGAATGTAAATAACTATAGTTCAATTCAATTTCAATTCTTGATATCGTGGATTGGTGGCTACTTTCAGACACACAATTAGTTCTTCTTCTTAGGGCCATATTCTCCGTAGTTCATAAACCCTGGCTTAGTGGAAAAGCTCGGCTTTGTCACACAAAAAGCCAATCATTTCCACTAAGCCAGGCTTTATGAACTACGGAGAATATGGCCCTTACTAATTTTATAGCGCCGTAAAAAAATAAGATTTGTTTTGTTTCATCCCGAAAAAGAAGGCAAGATGGTTTTTTTCTGAAAATGTTTTTAATGAAAATATTTGTTTATTTATATTTTGGGCTAGGATAAAGATTCAGACTTGCGGTCACCAAAAAAATTTTACTTGGAAGCTCTAGGATTAATAGTTCCTGAGATATAGCCGGCGACCTTTCTTATTTGGACACCCGGTACATCGGGTAGGTACATTTTTATAGGAATTTTTGAGATCAGGGACTTTCTGCTTCAAGTACGCGGATTTTATTTTGTAAACCAGTGGCGCCCTATAAAGCTAACTTCAAATATTGAACCTACTCCCACACCACTGAGTGAGTAGCCGCGAGCACTTTGTTGCGTTGGCCGCATTCCTTAAGGGTGTCTTACTGTACCCAGGCCTATTAGGGTTTATTTATTTAAATTCATTATTCAAATAGTTTGAGGGTTAGTTTTTGCGCAACAATACAAAACAAGCATTTTTGAGTCTGGCTAAAATTTTCGGATGGGTTCACAAGATCAATGAAAAATATGAGTGCCTCAACTCAACAACTACACTTATTTTCCCAGTCCTAAATATTTCACATTTTCTACAATAGAACATAAAGTATCTGAAAATAGCAATTTGGCTTATCTCAGATAGTGGCAAGTGAGTCTGGCCGAAATTTCTCGGATCTTCAATTTTTCACTTGCCAGACGTATCATCCATATTCACAGATAAGCCGGTCTATTTTTTACGTTACTTCAGAATATTTTTCTATAGTAGAACTCATGTCATCACTGGAAAAAAAGGGCCGTGCATTCGTGAGCTCTGACGCATTTTGCGCCTCAACCCATCGGAAAACCCCCCCTAAAATAGCTATTTTCCTAACGAGTGCGGGAAATTTCTTCCCGCAAGAGTTAGGAACCATATTTTTTCTACGAGCATACTAGAGCTGATGTTACGAGAAGTTTAATTTAAATAAAATGCGATTGTGCAGAAGGTAGAATTAAAAATGTATTGAAAGGTACCTACTCATAAAAAAAGGTAAAGGTATTAAAGATAAAGGTATAGGTGTATCAACAATACAAACAATTCCATGTCACAATGACTATTTCAAACTCTTCCCGCACTGAGAGCGGGAAGAAAGTCTTCCCGCACAGCAAATCGTGCGGGAAGAGCCATTTCCCGCACGCTCGTAGAAAAATATATGAATTTTGCTTAGAATTACTAACCCTACAATTCTATCCATGTTTTCTGGCTGGGAAAATACGTACCGAAAATCGTCACTGCCTCCTAGACTATAACAAAATTTGAAAAAAATCAATCGATTGCAGAAATCCCTCATAAAGGTGTGCGTGGTCTTTTCGGATTATCATTAGCAACTCTTAAGTTGAGATGAATCAAAATTTCTTCTTCCGCAGCTTCTAATTATTTCAAGAAAAATTATCCAATGGATCAACTGATAATCAAAATTTTAACCATTATCGGCTCTTGATTCCTTGGAAAACCTTTTTAGAGCCAATCAAGAGTCGCTAATAGTCGTAATTTGAATTTTCGTCAACTCTGAATGCGCCAGAGAATTTTTCTAAGGGCGTTCAAAGCTCAAGAGCCGATAATAATTAAAATTTCGAATATTCATTAGCAGCTCTTGAGTTGATTTAAATTAAAATTTCAGCATTGCCTAATAGGGAATTTTCATGAGAAATAAATATGGCTTATTTTGTTTTTATGGTGCACCTTTTTCTGTAAAATAATGAAATATGAGCAGTTTTGCGTTAAATTTATCGATATTGTAGTCACACGGCAATTATTAGTTTCAAATTGAAAAGTTTCGCGCGGAAAAGCTACGTTCAACATGGCCGCTTCCAGTGACGTCAACTGTTCGTAAATTAAGGTTAAGGGTAGTTTACACTGATCGTGAATCCACGGTCCACGTTTTTGTGGTTCACTCTTGAGTCGTAGAACGATCAGTCCACGATCAGCTCACGTCACGCCACGACTGATATTGAACCACCATAAATGAGTTTAGTATAGAGGGAAGATTGTAAGACTGTGTTTTTGTAAATCCTTTATAAACCCAACTATGATAAACGATCACACGAAATGTCACAATACGGCACTAAATACGGAAACACCACGTAATAACTGCTTTCAATGCAGTCGAAGCTTCAAGCTGAGCGATTCTTTCTGACAGTTTGCATTAGTTTGCAAAGTGTCAGAGGCTCTTGTGAGAACAGACCTTAACGTTCTTAACGTTGTGTTTACAGACAGTTGACGTCACAAGTACCGCCATTTTGAAGGTTATCGTTTTCGCGCCAACGAAAATAATTTGAAATTTAAAATATTTTTTTGATTTTAATGAGGATCTAATACAAAAAAAAAAAAACCTATATATTTTATATTTGAAAACATAAGCAATAAGAAAAAAAATAATTTGCAAAATATGATTGTTCCCTATTGTGATATTTGCTTAAGGGCCCAGTGCATCCAAGCGCCGCCACTGGGTTGACCTCGACCTCAACCGAAATAATTTTTATGCTGGTCTTAAATTTAAATGACATTGATGTAATGTCACATTAGATAATTTTTTAAAGCGTACATTATATGGGGGGAGGTTTTCTATCGACAATTAATCGGGGTAGGGAACAAAATCCCAAGTGAAAATGTTAGGAAGTTCCTTCGTACGCGCCTCAATAGCGCCCAAAGTGCACGAGAGCGCAAAAATCGGGCCGATTGCTGGCACCATTCGCAGCTCGATGGCGCCCAAATTCAACGAGAGCGCCCCAAATCCGAGCAAAGTGCCCAGCACCATCAATATCGATTTCAACCAAAGCAGTGGCAGTAAACCCTCTAGAAAAAGCAGTTTTCTACCGATGGATTTTGAAGATGAAACTAAATTGAGCCGTACGGGCTCGCAATTTAAGTTTATATTTTCCAACGCGGATGCGGAAAAGCTGGAAAAAGAACCAAGCGCCCTCGATATGGATGTTAAAATGAAGACATTTATTACCGGTAGCAGATACATCGGACACCTTAATAAGCTCGGAATGGCTGGAAAAGGGATTTACAAGTATCCGCATGGAGTAATTTACGATGGGCAATTTAACAAGCAAGGTGAATTTCACGGCCTCGGGTCCTTGATTTATCCTGGAGGCCAACGCGTAGACGGTATGTGGAAAAATGGCAAACTCTCCGGAGCTAATTTTGTTGCTAGTGGTACGTGTATCATACAACTTCAATTAACTACTAATCAAAAAATTCAATCAAAAGACAATTCCAGGTTTGATTCAAACTACTGCGAAATGCCCGATAGACGTTTCCAAATCGAATTGGACAACGAGGTCCAGGCGGCCGGGCAAGAGTACCTTACCAACGATGAAGTACCGCGCACGATACCACCTGGCATGTACGACACCGGCTACGGGTTTTACGATCCCGTAAGAAAAGTAGTAGTGGACTACGAAGACCCGGAAAAGTACAGGAACTTGTTTGAAATGATGGACGACGAACGGAAACTTTTATATCAAAGAGTAATTATTTAATTTTCACTTCTTCACTATATTATTGTGGTTGAATTATTAATTTTCTCCAGCTTGAAATGGAAGTTGCAAACGAAGAAACATCATTAATAGTAGACGTTTCTGATGAAAGTAGAACTCAAATGGTTGACAATTTGATGTTGCACATCGTCGCTATTCCTCCGGAGGAAAAGGAGAAATGGGTGAAGAATAATTGCAGAAAGCCCGGAGATGAAAATATCGGCTACAGGCCGGATTTGTACGAAGTCTGGAATCCTGGCTACGCACGTGACGATTACCAAGTTTCACAAGAACTCGCCAAGTTGTCCGCCATCAAAGTAAATACGGCCTTAGTCAAGAAATTCAGCAAACCCAAAGGGAAAGCTACACATTTATATTCGTTCACGAGAGCTAAAATTAGAGTAAGTAAACTGATTTATTATTGGCATTTGTTGGCAATAGTTTTTGTAGTCGCAAGTGGTTTCACTGGAAGAGCACATTGAAGCTCACGTCAATAAAATCAGTTTAAGAAGAAGTAGACAGGATCCAACTAGCACACCCACTTCAGGATTTTGGTGATCCAATAAAGTCAAGTTGAATAGTTATATGTATAAATATAAGGGCCCGAGTTAATTTTTTTTTAAATTCGGCGAAATCAAAATCGATTTGTGTATTTGTTTTTTTCAATGTTCAATTTTTGATTATTCCCGCCTCTGGATCAGGATCAACCCATTAGCATTTTCTTCCCAATGATTAATTGCTTTACACCAATGGGAATCCAAGAAATGGTATCAGAATGGGGATGTTTCCTACGTTCTTAAAACACGTAATATACAGTGTGTTAATAAATAATGGGATCAAACTTCTAGAATAAATCACTGATTTCAAAAATAAATGGATAGACTATCATACGGCTATACGGCTTGATTGGCTAAACTTGTGCGAAAATTTGGGGTCAATATTCTACGAACAGTTGTGCAACGGAACAGCCTAAACAACTGTTCTAAATTTTGAAATTCCTCCATTTTCATTGGCTGTATTTTGCGCACGCACAGTACATGTATCTACTGCGAACGCTCACAGCTGTTGTAGGGATCCACCCAAGTACTCTATTAATTAGTTAGATGGTAAATGGCGAGCGGTTCTTTTTGATGTTAATTATTTCCTCGGGTTGCTACAAAATTAATTGGTGAAGGGGGTCTATTTGCAAATGAGAGAAACAACTGTATAATAGTGTAGCAAAACGCCCCAAGTACTCTATGTAAATAGTTAGATGGTAAATGGCGAGCGGTATATTGAAGGTGTTATTATATACTTGGAGCTGCTATCTAAAATCTGTGGAAGGGTCTATTTGCAAGAGAGAGAAACAAACTAATGAGGTGTACTAAATTATATTTTATTTAACATAAAATCAAAATCAGCCAAATATCTTCCAATCCTTTACATCCTATTTATCTCTATAAAGTCAATTACTTCACATCTGTTCTAGATTGTTATTATTACGGACCACTGAAATATCCCTACTAAATAAGAAACGCCCTATTCCGACTATTCCTAATAACTTATAAGTTAACTCATTTCAATACTTCCTACTCATTCTTAATAAACTACCCTTTACCTATGTATATAAATTCTTTAAAATATCTAATGGCCGTTTCCACGGCTATCGCTTAAGGGATATCTAATCCAAGTTGAACTTTGAATGTGACTTTTGTTTCTACAACAGTTACAATCAAAGCTTCACTTAGATTAAATATCCCTTAAGTTATAGCGGTGCAAATGGCCGTAAGTCTTTTACTGATTACTTAGGAAAAACACAAAATAATTACCTATTTATTTATTAATATAAAAACTGTTTTTTTTTTTTTAAGATAAAAGTCAAAATGACATTATGTTGGCAATACAATGTAAAATTGTCAATAGTTTCAAATTTTTTATTTAGAAAAGGCTTGTGTTGCCAACATAGTTACTAAATTTTTGACTTGGGGAATTATCTTTAAAAAAAATAACAGACTTTAGATATTCCTAACTTATTCTTATAAAACCTTACAATAATTTCTACTTGAAAAATAAGAACCCTAATTCAAAATTAATTTCATGAACAACAACTTTCCAATATTTTAAGACAATTCTATTTTATGAACATCAAGATTCTTTTCAAAATTACCTATTCCATTTAATAGTTTATTTAATCAGAACAAATTCTATTATAAGTTTCCGTTAACAACTTTCCATTATTTTATGACAACAATTCTATTTCATGTACATCAGTTTTCCTTTCAAAATTTCCTATTCCATTTGGTAGTTTATTTAATCAGAACAAATTCTATTTTCGGATTCCTATGCCTAGCTAATAAATTGAACTATTTAATTCATAATTCCAACTCAAAATTGTATATTGTTAAATGCATTATAAGTTCCCTTCATATTTTTGGTGCAAAACTAAATTAGAATGTCATTATATCTGAAGGCAATTAAAGTTATGCAAATATATTCCATTGATATTTCACTCTATAGTCATTCATCTTTTATAAAGTCAAAAGTTTTAGGCATTAAAATTCAAAGTTTAATCATACAAAGTCATGTTCATCATTTATATTCAAATTAAATCTTGTCACTATAGAGTATTTACATTTTGTCCATAAACACAAAACTAATCTAATTTAATTCTTTTGATTACTTAGAGACCGCACATAATTTTTGAACGAATTTCAAATGTTATATCTTACACAATTTTCCGTACTTTTTCTATTAAATTAAACCCGAGGCCATACGCCATAAAAGAAACTTTTTGCGAAACTGGACAGACTTTAACTCAAACTGGACAGGACTGCGAATTCATCTCTCAACAACTAACTAGCATCTGCCTTCCACTTCTAAAACCGTGGTATTTATATTTTTTGTTTCCCTCCGAAATTCTGTGTCCATGACAATTAAGATGATGCGATTTTCTTGAAATTTTTGTCATTTTATTAGTTTAAAGCGAATAATTATGTCGCAATATACTGATTTATCGGGGTCGAAGACATTATTGGGTCAAGAATGCCATAAATCATTTATAATTAATTACTTGACCTCGCTAAAACAGTTCATTGATCGGGTGTTTGGATGAGATCACGCTGGGTGTCGCAATGCGTTAGCGTTAATTTGTTTCATTTTAATTTATCGATACTGATTTAGAAATACCGGAATTAGGTTCTTGATTATTTGATAATTATTTAATTTTTACAGTGAAGACATTGTGATTTATGGGTCTATTTTTCGGATCATTACATCCCTCCGCCCTTTAAAACCGAAATTATATTGAATAAGATAATTTCGGTCAATTCTTATCCAATGTCCCATTAAAATATAGAATTTCACCATAAATTAGGTGCCTGCCTCGTAAAATGTGGTTCGCTCGGTGAACCCTCTGTGAGTTGTGGGTTACTTTTCTCAATTTTAAAAATTTCACGATAATATTATCCGCGTATTTATTAGTTCGTTCAACCTAATTATGTGAAGCTTTTCCTATCCTAAATTTCACATTTCTTAAAAATATCTGTTATATTTTTCATTTTACTAAAACAACAAAAGTAATACGAAATTAAACTTTTCCCGTGTAATTTCGCAACTTCATTTACAATAATAATTATTAATGATCAATTATGAATCTTTACTCAACACTAGATATTATCCTGGCATCAAAAATTTTTCTTAATTTTCACATCAATACAATTTTCATTTAATATTTCCCTTCAAAATTGTTGATGCTAGAACGACACAAAACAAATTTCAATCTTACAAGATAATTACCCTTGCTTGTAGCAAAGTTTACTTGAAGCGCTGGTTGCTCGTTAGGCCTATATTGATTGGGCCTATATCGCGGCCTTCCACTACGACTCATTGGTTGGTGGCCTGTAGTCTCGCTGTCAATCTCACAGTAGTAGGTATAATAGCTAGGATAGTTATGATCTGGATGCTGATGCTGCTCAAGGGTGGTCTCGCTAGTTTGCTAGTTACCCGTTACACTTACACCCTTTTTGACTTTTCACTTTAACACAACACTTCCCTCGTGGTTACTGGCTGTGGTTGGCTACTGCTACTATGGTCTTCGTGATTGCTCCTACTGGCTCGTCTGAGTTTCATTACTAGGACGGCATTGTCAAAACTTTCCATTTCAACATGGATACGTGGTAGCGGAACGAGTTCGTCGTTTTCTTGGTACCTATTAGTTTCTAATGGCATGTTTCTAACAAATGTTATACAATTATTTCCCTAATTACCTAAATTACGCCTTTAAATCAATGAATCCTTACATTCGATTCTATTTTTCTTATTCTTAAATTTTATAGTTAACATCCTTCCTTATGTATTCTAAAATTTTCTTAATTCCTAGTTAGATATACATAGACTAGACATTATTTTGATTTTTCTACGTTTACAGTTTCTTCATTACGTAATCCTTAAATCTAGCGGGCCATTTTATGTCCCGTGTCCTCGTACTTCTTCGTACTTCCGGTTCGTGTTCCTCGACCTCTTCTTCTTCCTTTTCATCTTCTTCTTCTGGATTTTCTTCATTTTCTTGAATTATATCTTCTTCCATTTCTCTATGCCTGACGGGTAATTCTTGCCCCCGTGCTAAAAATTCATCTTCTTCTTGCGCCCTTATTTCATCATTGACGCCATTATTTTCATTTTGATCGACGGTTTCTTCATTCTCGTCTCTTGTCATTTCCCTATGGATTAGTGGAAATTCAATAATGTCTTCTCCTCTGGGTAGAACCTCATTGTCCTCCTCTTCATCGGATTCACTATCTCCGTTATCTGGTGTAGGATTTATCATTCTATCCTCCAACCCTTTACATGGTTTGAGCCTTTCAGCATGCAAAATCTGCTCTTTCTTTCCATGCAACTCCTTTATTTTAAAAGTAACCGGTCCTAGCTGTTGAGTAATTCGACTCGGTCCTGACCATTTACAACGAAATTTTGGTGCTAAATTCCTCCCTGGTAAAACTGGATTCTTCACATAAACTAAATCCCCGACTTGGAATTCTTTCCTAGTCCGTTTTGCATTGTGTTTATCGCATCTTTTTTCAATAGAAACCTCTATGTTCCTCTGAGCTAACTCGTGGGCGTTCTGCATACTGGTAACTAACTCTGTAGCATAGTTTTCGTCTATGTCATATTTTATTGGCATTTGGCATCATTAGATGTACTGGAAGCTCCATATCTCTCCCAAACATTAAAAAGAATGGAGATTCTTGCGTTGCCTCATGTGGCAAATTTCTATAAGCTAGAAGACAAAAGGGTAGCACTTGATCCCAACTATCATGGTGATCATCGACGTAATGACTTATCATCGTTTTTATGGTTTTGTGAAACCGTTCTATTATTCCATTTGTACTTGGGTGGAATGGTGTAGTCTTTAACTTTTTAATTCCAAGAATAGTGCAAATTTCAGTAAAGAGTTTACAGAGAAACTGTGTTCCACAATCGGTTAGTATTTCTCGTGGAACTCCGAAACGACATATAATCTTCTCGACGAAAGCTTTTGCAACCGTTTCCGCCTTGATGTCTGGTATTGGAATGCATTCTGGATATCTCGTCAAGTAATCTATACAGGTCAACATGTATCGATTTCCATTATTAGTTTTATTTAATGGTCCTTCTATATCCA